TTATGCTGGCCCCACAAGCACTCTCTTCCCTGTGGTAGGGAAAGCTTGCTCCTGTCTTTGCTATTCTTATAAGCTAACTTATTTTCCCTGTATGCCAGGACAGGCAAATGTTCTGATGACCACACCACTGCAATGTACTTTTTAGGCATGATATTAACCAAAAAGAGTCACAAAAAGTATAAAAATTCATGCTAGTCACCTTGGCAAGATAAAATTAGAACAGTCACCATACTGAATTTTAATTTATAAAGTATATTCAAATATTAAAATATTTCACATGCAATAAAAATTCCGAAGTCCAAAACTCGGCTTAGTTGACTAGAAACTTTAGAAGCAGTGTGAGTTTAGTCAATGAGGTACTCTTTGTCATCAGTTGACAAAGAATCAATCAGTTCTAGGATGACTTAATCATGAATTCATGCCTTTGCACCAAAACTCTGGGAATTCCAAATCTAAAATAATCTAGGTGAGAAGTATGTACAATTCAATACGCATAAGACGGTTCAGAAACTACAAGAGGCATGCTTTCTTTAGTGGAACAAAAAGTCAGGTACTCTCAGTAATCAATGAAATTAGCTTATATTTACAAGTATGAAATTAATATAAATGCTTGTGCTTACAATCTTTAACATTACAATCAAAACCAATTTTTAAAGAAAGTAACAAAATGATAAACAATATCAACTTGCTAAGACAAAATTGCTGACATTTGGTTTACTGAAAAAGCTGTAGACTCAGCTCTAATTCTATATTTAATCTGCATTTGCCTTCAAGGCTAGCAATGTGAAGAACGCCTGTTAGAATTATATAACACATTAATGCTGAGCTTGGTTCAGGATACTGGATGTTAGAATTAACCAAAATTTTCCAGAGAACAATTCAAGAATAACAATCTATATAAAGTATCCACTGAAATTTTATTATTTTTAATGACTTATTTATTTTTACTACAAAGTCAGATATAGACAGGAGAGACAAAAAGGAAGATCTTTCATCCAATGATTCACTTCCCAAGTGGCTGCAATGGCCGGAGCTGCATCTATCTGAAGCCAGGAGCCAGAGCTTCTTCCAGGTCTCCCACGTGGGTGCAGGGTCCCAAGACTTTGAGCTGTCCTCAACTGCTTTCTCAGGCTACTACCAGGGAGTTTGATGGGAAGCGAGGCCGCCAGGATTAGAACTGGTGCCCTATATGGGATCCTGGCACTTTCAAGGCGAGGACTTTAGCGAAGAAGCTACTGCACCGGGCCCAATTCACTGATATTTTATAAAACTCCTTGTTTATGTCAAAATTCAAAATGTAGTTCAAACACCTAATATAGTTACTGAAACTGGAATTAGACACATATTTCCTTGCATGAGCACTACTATACTATTAGTGACAACACTGCCCCTATAATAACAAAAACAGGGTTGAGGTACAACTTCTAGAATGGTACACATGTGTATGAATTCAGAATGTCTCTTCACCAGCAGGTAACACAGGTCAGTCAGCATAAGTTTCTATTTGAGTTACTATGAAACCACTTCTACAGAATATGGGTATCATTTGGCTTCAGATGATATGAATGCAACCATAAACCTGAGAGCAAATGCTAACGAAAGCACTGCATTCACACAGCTGTTCTCAGTTACAAACTGGTCCTCAAGGTGCCACAGAATAAACCAAAAAATAAAGTTACACTAAAATTAATATAAACATAGCTAGAAAATATCCAGGCTCCTAAAAATGTATACGCACAGGGGCCAGCACCATGGCATAGTGAGCTAAGCTTCCACCAGCATTCCATATGGGCACTGGTTTGCGCCTTTGCTGCTAGGCTTCTGATCCAGCTCCCAGTTAACGTGCCTGGGAGAGCAGTGGAAGATGGTCCAAGTACTTTGGTTCCTGCATGTACATGGGAGTCCAGGAAGAAGCTCCTGGTTCCTGGCTTCACACTGGCCCAGCACCGGCCATTGTGGCCATCTAGAGAGTAAAATGGCAAATGGAAGATCTCTCTCTCTGTCTCTTCTTATCTCTGTAACTCTGTCTCTCAAACAAATTAATTAATAAAAAAAAAGAAAACCAGTCCTTTGTGAACTAGACCTGTGTCCCATATTAAGGTTCCTGGATTCCACACCTGCCTCTGCTCCAGACTCCCACTTCACACTAATGTAGACCCAATGAAGCAGCAGGTGGCTCAAGTAACTAAGTTACTGAAACCCATATGGGAGTTCTCTATCAGCCAGGTACTGTAGGCATCTGGGGAGTGAGTCAGCAGCTAGGAACTGTGTTTATCTCTGAGTGAGTAAATGAACAAATAACAGTTCAGAAGATATTAAGTACTGGTACTTATCTGAGTAAATAAATTAATAACACTTTAAAAGATATTTAAAAAATGGGACTTTGAACTGTCACACTGCTGACTACCAGAAAGGAGATGTGACTATCAAGGTCAAGCTTTCAGAACCAAAAATTAGACTACAATTACATTCAAAAGACAAATTTATTGACTTTTCTGGAGTATGAAATCATATTCCTAGGAAATCAGATTATTAATCTACCAGAAAAAAAGTCATCATTTATCATCACAAATTCAGTCATGAGAATTTTTCTTTTTCACAAGCTAGTAAAAACCATTACGCACCTACTTTTAATTACTCAAGCTTGATTCCTTAATATACTAGAGCCAAAAGTTAAATAATTATAATCTGAGTACCACATGTTAAATCTATTGTTGAAATTGGCTCCATTTGCTTGTATATAACCGGTCCAAGACTTTATAATTTGTTACAGTTCAATCTTTTCTCACACATTACTAACCACACTAAGTCTGCTCTTCTAAGGTACTAAAAATAGCTATCTGCTCTTTGTTAAAACAAAAAACTCCAAGTCACAAACAAATTGTTAAATTTGAATTACATCTTGATCTTGATTGAGTTCCATTTCAGAAAATATGATATTAAGGCTGAATCATCTAATTTTTTATTTGGAAGATTATCTCTTTATGATCACAATTGAATGTATGCCTTTTTAAAAGTATCATGAGGCCACAGTGATCCAGGCTCTGTTTGAGAGACTATGCAAGTAACTCTTCCAGCTAGTAGGCTTTGGTTTAATTTGATAAAGTCCATTTTTGTTACTCAAATTTCAGTTTCTGAGAAGATCAGAAATAAAGAGTAACTTACTTGTGGATTACTTCAAGTAGATTGACTGCTCACCGTGAACAGAACTGTCTCAGTGAATATTATGGGCAAGTAGGATTTTTACAAGAATTTTATATTACAATCCCTTCTTTTTTAATGTAACACTAAGGTTCTGATGCAGTAATGGAAGAAATATATGCTCTATAAAACTGTCAGTTTTATATATTAGTTTTCAGAATCAATTTAATGTATAAAAAAACCAAAAACAAAGATTTCTTTGTTGATTTGAGACTGGGTTTTTCTAGGAGATTTACTGTAGAATTTACCACAGATGTCTGCAGTTTCCAGAGTCATTTTTTTTTTCTTTACAGAAGGTAATCTCTTTAGATAAAGTCTACTTCCTGCAATCAAGCTCATGAGTGTCCCCCACTTCACAGGATATGCACTGACCTTAAAATGCTAGGTGACAAAAGCACCCTCCAAGCGGACACCCTCAATGACTGAGATGAAAACAAGCAAATCTATTTACCAGCAGAGACGGTAGAAGACACGAAGGTGGCACTATCTGGGTGCAGGACTATGTGTCACAGAGAGGAGGGCTACGGTGATAGTAGTACTAACACTACTGAACTCATCAACACATTGCTGTTATTTCATGACAATATAGTTTTGAGACATGAGTACAAGTCTTACAATGATACAGTAACATTCAATATGATAAATTTCTAAACCAAAGCCAGTTACTTTGAAAACACTATATGGGAACACTATGACAGAGGTAAAAAGAGGGTCAAACATTAATCAGGATGTCAAATTTGATCAATTTTTTTTCTAATTCTAAAATTCATGTTTCTATCTCTATCACTCCATTGTTGAAAATACAGATACAAATAAAATAGACTTTTAATAGCTCTTAGAAAAAATACACCATTAACTCAATTGAATTTAAAAAAATTTACACTGATGAAGTATTCTATTACTTAAAATGTCTTTCAAGTCTTCTTTGACCATTATGAAAATAAAAAACTAAGAAATACAAGTGTTCTTTCAAAATATTCATGGAAAATGTGTTTCATGCAAAGGCTATAAAAGGATTTCAAAAAATTTTGTACCAAAACAAGCTTTTCTTTTAGAAAAATTCCATGTTTCCAAGAAGTATTCTCTCACATGCCAACTAAATGAGCCACAAAAGCAACTACTAAGTGAAATACTCTTTTGCCTTTCAGCCCCGGCATTCACAAACACTCTTTTTTTCTGTTTCAACATCCTGCTTCTTGCAAGCTGAACAAAACAAAGTACTTGTATAGGAACTCAGAGTTAGATGGCAAAGCTGAAGGAGAAAGGCAAGTTTTATCTTTTCCCTAAACCGTTTGGTGTCAAAGCTAAAAGCTCTAACACATTAGAACATGTGTTTTCTTTCTTTCCAGAGGAAACACTTTGCAAACTGGATTCCTTAATTTTATATACTTTTATTACTCAGTTAGGGAACTTGTTGCTCAATATGCAAATCTAAAACTGGCAGGGGGAGGGCAGAGGGGTGGAGGGGACGGAGGGAGGAAATGAAGCTCAACAAACAACAAAATAAAGTTGCTCTGTTGTGTTGAGACAGCCAGGCTTTCGTTACCCTACTTGAAAGTAAATTTGACTTGTCTGTGGAGAGTGCTGCTTCAGCAATTCCAAATGAATTTCAAGCCTGTGCTCCATATTTTGTCTTTTGTAAGTTTAATGTATTCAGCAATACTGAACTGACAATTTAAATAACTACATTTTTATACAAACGAAGCATTGATGTTAATGTATGAAAATGGTCCAAACCCTAGGGAGTCTTAGTTCCCACCATTGTTGACTCTGACAACAGGATATAATTGCTTACTTACTTGGCAGCAAATTTAACCATCTGCTTGCTTGCATGGTCTCCCACTGCCACAAGAGCCTGGACATTAAACTGCTGCTGACGAAGGACTAAGAAGCACTGCTTCCCTAAAGAAGAAAGAACACAAGTGTGTGTATTAAGGATATGGCTCTTCAAATTTTACAGAATTGGGCCAGAATCTACCATAATCAGATGAGTATTCATCCAGCTTCCACAGCCAAAACATTCACACTCAACCTACAAGGTTTAAAGAAACCCAACTTAAGACTGTAAGTAGCACTTCTCTTATGAAAACACAGACCAATTACTAATTTCAAAAACAAATAGTAAAGTTAAAAAATTATTTTGTCATTGCACTATTTATTTTTATTTACTTACTCATTTTACAAATGTACTTATTACAGAGTTACATAGAGGGAGAGAAGAGAGAGAGAGAGATCTCCTTCTACTGGCTTACTTCCCAGGTGGCCACAATAGTGCCAGGCCAGGCCAAACCAGGTTTAAGTTTCATATGTGTCTTTGGTGGCAGGAGCCAAGGACCTGGGCCATCTTTTGCTACTTTCCTAGGCCGTTAGTAGTGAGCTGGATTGTAAGCAGAGCAAGCCAGGACTTGAACCAGTACTCAAATGGGATGCTGGCACCGCAGGCCGTGGTTTTACTAGCTACATCATCATGCAGGCCCCATCACTGAGATGATTTATTAAACAAATTTAAAGTAACTTAAGCACTCTAGTATAGTCTAGACTAGTCCTTTTTTTTTTTTTAGATGTTATTTGAAAGGCAGAGTTAGAGAGAGAAGGAGAGAGACATGAGAAAGAGACCTTTCATCCACTTGCCCACTCCCCAAATGGCCGTAACAGCTGGGGATGGGCCAGGTTGAAGCTAGGAGCTTCTTCTGGGTGCCCAAGCACTTGAACTACCCTCTGCTGTTTTCTGAGGTGAATCATCAAGAAGCAAAATCAGAAGTGGAACAGCTAAGATTCAAATTGGCACCCATATGGAACATTGATGCCACAAGTACTATACCGTGGTGTCAGTCTCAAAACTATGAAGGATACTCTACCAGCAATACAACCTGACTTCTATGGAAGTTTCATTGACACAACCACAAAAGTGCTCAAAAACAAGAACACAAACGTTATAGGGGCTGGTCTACCCGCAGAGCTCTAACACAATGTACTTTGCAGAGTGAGCATTTTTCTTGAGTTATTAACAGGATGTTTTCTATGGTATTCTATTTTTTTCCTTTATCATATTCCTAATTCTTCAGTTTCATAAAATTCGTATACTGAGTGCCAAGTGTCTTGCAATGACCCCTACAAGGGCCAAGAGCTGCATGCCAGGCATTCAATCCAGATATCCTATGTGCGTAGCAAGAATTCAATTATTTAGCTATCAGTGCCAACTCCCAGAGGCTGCACAGGTAATAAGTTGGAATCAAGATCCAGACGTGGAATTTGAAACCAGGTACTGTATTATGGTACATTCGTGACTTAATAACTAAGCTAAATGTCTCCTTCTCACTTATAGTCTCTTGGACTCCAAACGCCTACTTTGCCTATGTACTAAAACAAAACAAAACAAAGCAAAAAAACTTTCCTTAAGCTTTGAAGCCTCCTCCTTTCACAAAGAATTGCCATTTTTTTCTCCCTTCCTCCATTCCTTCCTTTCTTCCTTCATTATTTATTTTATTTTATTGAAAAGGCAGATTTACAAAGAGAAGGAGAGACAGAGAGAAAGATCTTCCATTTGCTGGTTCATTCCCCAAGTGGCTGCAACATCCGGAGCTGAGCTGATCCAAACCCAGGAGCCAGTAGCTTCTTCTAGGTCTCTCATACGTGTGCAAGGTTCCAAGGCCTTGGGCCATTCCCAGACCACAAGCAGAGAGTTGGATGGGAAGTGGAGCATTTGGGACACGAATCATTGCCCATATGGAATCCTGGCAGATGCAAAGTGAGGATTTAGCTACTAAGCTATCATGCTGGACCTGAACTGCCATTTTTTAAAACCTTCTGAAAAACAGTATTCATAATAGACTTCAGTCATTATATATCCTTTTGTCAATCCCTTTTCCTTAAAAGCAGATTAAAAAAAATTTTAACTGGAAATCAAATTTATAAAGAGAAAAGGAAACACACATACACATCTCTCATCTACTAGTTCAGTCCGCAATGACCACAAAGGCTGGAGCTGAGCCCATCTGAAACCAGGAGCCAAGATCCTCCTCTGGGTCTCACACATGGATGCAGGATCCCAAAGGCTTGAGAAATCTTCCACTCCTCCCAGGCCACAAGCAAGGAGCTGAATGGAAAGTGGAACTGCCAGAATACCGTCTGCCAGCGTCTGCAGGCAGAGGATTAGCCAACTGAGTTGTTGAGCTGGCCACCAAAACAGACCATTTTAAAGTCGCTGATCAAGTTCTGAGAAACTACTTCCTCACAAAAACTAGCGAAATTTCCTCAATATCACTTTTTTCTCTAGACTGCTTCAGAAAATATCAAAAGATGTTAATTTTTAAACTGAGAATTAGCTTTTATGCTGACAATTATCCTTACTAAAAAAGCAAAAATGCATGCAAATGATAGTTACTTGTTCAAATACATGTTATTTTGAAATGCAAATCAGATATCATGATTTGTTAAAAATGCTGCAAAGTGCCAACTCCATCTACTAACTTGCAGTCATGTGACTGACACGTTTTGCCACTAAAGAGACAGTAATTTTCTCTTTTCCTCTGAAGTGTGAATGACTCAGAAAGCAAAATCTTAAAATAGAAGAAATGTGTTAAACAAACTTTAAGGGATTTTAAGATACTAGATGAGCAAAGGTTGGTAGCCCAGGGAAACTTGCAGATGGATCAAAATGACATTATCCTAGGATCTACAACTCCAAGTACAGTCTGACATTCCCCCACTTAGTGAGAAAAGGAGGGTTATGTGCTCACAACAGCACCAGCCCAAGTCATGATTTAATCAGGATATTTTACTCTCTCTGACAGTGGAGAGAGAGGCAGCCAAGCCAAACAATCTTTAATCCAACACAAAGACCTTGACAGAACTGGAAGCACTAAAGCACTTACGTACTTACAAAGGGTAAGTACAGAAAACAGACTGTAAGTCAGCACCAGGGTATAACATTTAGTGGATGGGTTTAGTAAAGAGTAAAAACTTTGAAGTGAAAAGGCCTGTGAATTTATCTTCTCACTTCCAATAAAGGGGCCTAATATAAAATTATTAAGCCACTTCATGTATCTTGGTGTTTCATCTGTAAAATGGAGAAAATGTCAGTATACTACTCATGAGGTTTTCTTTTGTAATTCTAAAGAGCATATGATACATTTAAAGTCAAGACAGATCCAAATCAATTAGGATTGATTATTATTAATAGTGTCATCACCAATGGCTACTTATTTGAGGACTGATTATTATTCCTATTTCAAAATGGGATGACTCTGTACAAAACTCATGCTGAGTACTGGAAACACAAATTAAATAGTAGACACCCATGACAGAGCAGTTCATGAAAGGAAATGACTGGGAATCCAAGTGCCTGTAAAACTGTCTCATGATGCAATGTAATAAAAAAAAAAAAAAAAAAAGGAAGAAAAAAAAAAGAAAGGAAATGACTAAACCATGTATGAGGTATAATTCCAATTTTGTGTTACATTTATATTATGTTTGCATTGGGCAAAAATATCAAGCTGTGGTTACAAAAAGATAGCGAAATTACCAAGGAATTATTCTGTTTTTTATATTTTTCCATACTCTCTATAATATATTTTTTTTTTACTGAGAAAAAGATTTTAAAGGGAGAAGTACTTGTAGGTATAGAGAAAATGTAAGCACTGAAAGAAAATCTTGGCCAAATTCAAGATTCACCACGAGAAGTAGAACTCGCAAAGCTCTAGGAGGTTTAACACGCGGGGAAATGCACCCCTAGGATCTGACATGCCTAAAAGGAAAAGGAATCACAAAATCAATGCTTACAAGGGAACTGAAGGATGTTCACTGTTCCCTTTAAATGCTTAGTGTGTATATTAGATATTATCCTATAAAAATGAAATCTTTTCTCATTTTAAAAGTAGGCAATTGATGGGGCAGAAAGGAGCAAAGAAGTGACCAGTACTGTAACCATGTTATATTATAAACCAATATGGTACATAAAAATATACCAACACACACAAGCATAAGAAAGAATAAAGACTAGATCCTATTAGAGAAAATGTATTACCCTTTAAGAATTTAGCAAATTAAAAAGCAACAAAGAAGAAAACAGAGTAAAAAATGCAATTGCATATTAAACTATACTTTTAAGGAACAACACATTCCAAGTTTAAAAGAGGAAATATAAGACTATCTTTAATACATGCAGATCTCTAAGATTTATGAGAAAATACTGAGATTTCCAATAAATAGAAAATACACCAAAACAGCTAATTTGAAGGAAAAAGAAAAGCACAAACTCACACAAAAAAAGTTAACGAAAACAAAGCAAGTTGAAGCAATAACAACATATCACTCACTCCTAAAATGAGCAAAGATTTTTATGAATCTGATGCTTGAATAAACTGAATAAAAACACTTCATAAACTGTTATCGGTGGGGTACACTTGCACCATGTTTTTGAAGAACTGGAGAGTGGGCATTAAAAGGTTAAGTAAAAGTTGAAAATGTTCTAAATAAACATTCTAAAAAATGTTATCTGTATAAAAATGAATTTCTATTATCACTCATTTCACTTGTATGTAGTCTGTCAGTGGAACATGTGATCAATATGATGGCACCTAAGCTTTCTGTGTCTCAAGCACTTTAAAGTACTTTTGAGACTGAAGTTCATTCTTGTAGTATTAAAATAACTTGGGACTAGCGTGGTGGTCTAGCGCCTAAAGTCCTCACCTTCAACGTGCTGGAATCCCATATGGGAGCCAGTTCTAATCCTGGCAGCTCCACTTTCCATCCAGCTCCCTGCTTGTAGCCTGGGAAGGCAGTGGAGGATGGCCCAAAGCCTTCGGACCCTGCATCCATGTGGGAGACCCAGAAGAACTCTGAGCTCCTAGCTCCTGGCTTCGGACTGGCGCAGCACCAGTCGTTGCAGTCACTTTGGGGAA